TTTTTAAAAATTAAAAAAATATTATTTTTATATATTTTAAAATAAAAAATAACCACAACCACACTCTCAAACACTTAGTTTGAATTAAGTTTTATTTTGGATTAGTTTTTTTAAAATAAATTAAGTTAATTTATCTGATTCAGAAAATTGTTAGGGATACAATCAAGAATCTAATACAATTTGGGGGCATAGCTGAGGTATGTCCACATATCTTTGTGATACACTTCAATGCATTAGCCAAGAACATCATTTTGAATATTTTTGAAAGGTTGCTTTTGTCAGAATTGCAATGGTATTCAATTTATTCAGAAAGAGGTTCCGTTCCCGCCTCACAAATTCTATGCCCTTCTGAAACAATAGTGAAATCGCCATAGAAAAAGCGCCTAATGTTCATGGTTATCAAGCACTGTGAAGAAAAACAAATATCTTTCATTGATTGACTGATCTTAATGTTATCTATCAGCCTGACCTTCCCTAACCAGGCAGCATCACAAAACGCCACAGGACTATTGATCTCTTCCAATTCCTCCAAACTTTAGGTCTACAATGGCAATAGGAACTCAAAGATTGATTTCAATGTTATCTATCAGCCTGACCTTCCCAAACCAGGCAGCAACACAGAACACCACTGGACCACTGATCTCCTCCACTGCCTGCAAACTTTCTTGGTCTACAATCTGATAGAAAGAAACAATGCAATTAGAAAGTAACGATTCGGATCGGATCGATATAACGAATAGTACAAGAAAACTCAGATTCCAATCAAGTCGAGACAATCTAACGTTCATGCATTTTATTCCACTTCGTATTTAAACAGATGGTGTCACTGTATTGTCATCAGTTTCAGATATACCTGCTACTGTAGTTAAGAGAATAGAAGAAAACAAGTGTTCTGTTTTCGGATCCATCAGTATAAAGTTTAAACTGCAGAGTTAGGGACGAGTATAAAGTTTAAACTGCAGAGTTAGGGAACACAAACACTGCACCCCTCACCTCGGCATAATCGATTCTTCCTCCAGCTTCACTTACTGCTTGGATAACTGAATCTCTTAATTCTCTACAATTTATGTGGCCATTCTCTGCTGAGGATTTAGCACCCAGCAATGACCTGCTTATAGACAAAGCCTGCACAAAGCATAAAAGGACGTCTACTCTTTAAAAATTTCTGCACAAAAAATATGATTGAACCATTTCAGCTAATATGCATATGCAAAAGTAAAACATCTACTCTTAAAAGTACATGTTGAAGTATCGGAAGCTAACTATTTTTTTTTTTAATCTACTTACTAAGTAGCAAAAGGCCAGTGAGAGTTTTCTCCAGCAAAATGCAAATTTATTTGTGAACGCTGATCATCTATAAGCAGAAGTTAGTGAAAGGGATTTTAACAATCAAAAGTATGCGACAGAGTTCTTGTTGCTGGCAATTCTTTTCTTGACAAACAAGGGATAGAGGTAATTTAAGTTTCCTCATGCTGAAAGTATGACTGCATGCAATAAGCAAATCTACTTCTATCGAAATTGAAAATGAAAAGTTCCAAGGATCATTTGAAGAACCTTTCTCCTCTCTTTTGCAGAGAGGTGTACATTGCGAGAACTCATTGCAAGGCCATCATTATCGCGCAAGATCTCTGTACCTATTATTCTTATGGAAAAATCAAGATCTCGAACCTGCAGGAAGTCAACCAAAAAACACACCATTTAATGAAAGTGTCACTAGAAACAAGAAGTCTGGGTTAACCTACCAAATTAAGAAACCAAACTAGGTGTTTCAGAAGTATTATAAGATGAATACTGAAAAAACAGATCAACTTGAAAACCAAACCCAGACACTAATGCTAATGTGGTTCTGAATACTAGTATCTGTCAAAAGAGTAGGAAGAAATGGCTCGATACTCTTATTTTTCTTTCTTGAACCAAGAGATCCATGAACTGGGATCCTAATTCAAGTTGCGATAGAACCATAAAATCATCTTTACAAAGCATGATGACATTGGCATGTGCTGTTTTGTTCTATCATCCAGTTACAAGATGCACATGAAGCATTGAGTTGATGCAAATTTGCATAACACATCCGAAACTTTCTCTATTATAAATACTAACAGTGAACAATAGAATACTGCATTAAGAAAAGGCCATTGTCCCACTCAAATAGGGTCCGTGGGAGAGAGAACATCATTAAGAAAAGGCCATTGTCCCACTCAATAGGGTCCGTGGGAGAGAGAACATCATCATCCTGTGCTAAACCACATGAAATATTTGAAAAGATTATTGAGAAACGCACAAGTACTTGAGACAAAATTTCACAATCTTTGACAGCAACAAGCAAATTTTTCTTGCAAACTAATATTTTCAATCGATTCACCAAAGTTTACTTCTTTTCTGAGAAACGTGAAGGATTCCTATTTCTTATTCAATCAAAAGAAAACCAATGACCAAAAAAGAAGAAGAAGGAAAAGTCTTACCATTCTTTGAACAATTCTCCACTGCTGGTAATCCTTCTTACCGAAAACAGCAACATCAGGCTCGACGATATTAAACAATTTAGTGACAACAGTAGCAACCCCTCTAAAGAACACAGGCCTACTCTTCCCACACAAACCGTTTTCCAATTTCTCCACTCTCACCCATGTTTCATGCCCCATCCCCGACTCCTCCAAACATGACACCACCTCCCCTTTACCCTCTAAATTCTTGCAAGCACCCATATCATTCTTATTTCTTTTCATGTCATTTTCGTAGTCATAAAGATTATGGGGGTGAAAAACAACATCAACACCACCAGGAACATACATGAGCTTGCTAATATCACCATGGAAGTCAGATGGGTATGTGGAAAGATCCTCAGAGGGAGCGAACTGACCTGGGTTCACATAGATTGAGACGACAGTGAGGTTGGTGAGCTTTAGAGCTTCTTCGACGAGTGATATGTGGCCCTGATGAAGGTAACCCATTGTGGGCACAAGGCCAATGCTCTTGCCTTGAGATCTCATAGTTCTTGACCATTTCCTCATCTGCTCCTTGTCTGTTATTATCAAAGGCTCTTTCTTTGACGCTTCCATTCGGACAAACTATCAGGGATTGTGAATATTTCAGCGGTGGAGATTTAGATAGAAAGACTTGAAGGGATGAGTTTTGGCAACTGGCATGGCTATGTCAGAGGAATATTGGTATTAAGGTTGCAACCTGCAAGTGGCGGTTTGGTTCTTTCTGTTGATCTATTTTTTTAGTTAAAAAGCCTAATGGTGTTTGGTGGTTTGCTGTGTGCAAAAGGTCCATGCTTTTTAGCATATGGTAGGTCAAATTGTCTTGCTCCCTCCGCCCATGCTACCATCCCCTGCATCCAGTCCAGTTGAACTTGTATATTGATTCAACAGTAATACTTGTATTATTAACTTGTATATTATAAATGATAATGAATTAAAAAAATTTAAAAATAAATATCACAGGTTAGATGATAAATCGAGATTAACTTGAACTACCCTATATTTATTTTATCTTTATATTTTATAATACATGGATTTAATATTTATTTTTGTTTTATTTAAAGATATTTTATGGGCTTCCTAGTTTTAACATAATAAAAAATAATTTATCCCTTTACTACAGGAAAAGAGGAGGCAACTATAATTTAACAAGGATGAAATATATAAAAATTAGACTTAATTTTAAAGATATCATAACATCCACAATCTATGTCATAATTCAATTTATAAATATAAATTTGTAAAAATTAGCAATATAAATCTAAACAGTTGATATTTATAACATCCATAGAAAAAAAACCCAGGTCTAATCATATTCAGCTCACATAAATAAAAATAAATAAATTAAATAAATCATATTTATAATTTATAAGATATAAAAAATTAGTAAATGGATATGGTGGGGTTGGATATAATCCTGTACCAAAATCCAAGCCAACCATACCCATCAATGCCCCATAAATGAATATTGTCAAATGCCACCTCCTCCGATGGTCCACACAACTAGTGAACGGTACTTGGTTGTGTGATTACTATCTTAGAGAAAGCCTAAAAAAGTCAAACAAAGTTGACTAACAAAAAGAAGTATGGTTTGGACTGAAATTTTAGAAGGATGTTTCACAGGCCAATTCCCTAAGAAGTCATCGTACTAGCGCTGGCCAATATCAAATCATGCCCAGATCAAGTTTAGAAATTGCTATTGGAATTTTATTTTATTTTCCATAGCTATTTTACTTTTTTTTATTTTTAGTTTAGATATTCTAATGTTAGTTTTTTTTTCCTTGTAAAGATACGAGTCTAAGATAAATATTAACTTATTTGTAGCTCGTGTTTTGCCGTGGGCTAACTAATTATTTTTATGTAAAAAATAATATTAAGAAAAAACATTATGAATCTCAAGCTATTTGTTCCATTGATAATTTAAATAATATAAATAAATAAAATACAACTAGAAAAAATAAATTGACAAAAAAAATTACAATGAAAAAAAAGTAAATCAAATCTAACATCAGCCCTTCCCAGTTATTAAACAATTTAATATTTACAAGTGAGATTATAAAAAATAATTTAAAAATAAAAAAAATCTAATTAAATATACTTAACTCGTAAACTTCGCAATCAAATACATAAGATTGAGATAATTTCACTCAAATAAAAATGTAATAATTATATTAAAAGCAAATAAAAAGAAAAAAGTTGAAATTCAATTTCTAATATGTAAAATATTGAAAGATAAAAGTTAAAAGATATATATATTAAAAAAATTAAAAGAACTTGATTCGAGCCCACTCAGTTAAAATGCAAAATCTTAGACCCAATTGTGATAAAAGGACAACCCTATTTGAAAATAAACAGAATAAAATTATAAATTTTGATTATCGAATAACTTAATGTTGAAAGATAAAAATTAAAAAAATAATTAAAAAATAATTAAAATTGAGTCAACTTAAGTTATTATCTACATGATAAAAAATAATAAACATATAAAAGTCAATCTTCGTTAACCTTGAAATCGATGAATCTGGTAATAAATTCAAAACCGAATCCATATAATGCAATCTATAAAAAAAATAACAAAGAAAACTCTAAAAAAAATAATTAAAAAAAAAACATCAGCTTAAGAGAAAGTGAAAAAAAGAACCAACAAAACATTGACAAACCTTCTGAACATAGTTTAATTTTTAAAATTCACAACTTATTAAGTCTTTGATCGGTTTCAATCTAGAAAATTAATTTTTAATTAATTTAATTTTGAAGAATAAAATTATAAAAAAATATCAATTTTCAAATCTTTCTAAAGAAAGAAAATAAAAATAAAATAGGGGTCAAATTTAATATAAAAAAAACCCTAAAGAGGATTAAATTGTAAAAAGAAATAATGTAAAAAATAATTTCAAACAAAACAAATAATAATTAAAAAATAAGGATTAAAATTGAAAGAATAAAAAATAGAAGGGGTGAATTTAAAAAACATTTGTAATTTTATAGATTATTCAAAATAATAAAATTAATAATTAAAAGTATAAGGATTAAATATGAAGAAAAATTAAATTGAGGGAGTTGGTTTAAATTTTTAGAGATTCTAGCATAAATTCTATGGAGTAAAGAAAAACAAAATTGATGTTAATGTCAAACTAGAATCTTGTTTGATGCACACATTATCTCATTATAAAAAGGAGCTTTAAAACCTTTTAAACAATACCATAAAAAATGGTGCTTGATGATCAATAACCTGAAAAACACCTCCCAACAAGTGCGTTGCATGAGCCTCCCACTTAGTAGTTTACACATGCCAATATGTTTTTTAGTAACTTGATTGTATAGTCAAGTACTATAATATCTTTAAATAAATTTTATGTTAGCAATAAAATCAATATAAAATGATTAAAAAAATTATTGTGGGAGAGTTATGTTGATTTTGTTTTTCAAAATAATAACATAATTTTACTATTTAGAAAGAACTGAAAATACCATAACGGTCATTATTAAAAGGCATTCTAGTTTTTTTTATTCATAGTTAAATTAATAATTTTATCATAAAAAATAAAACTACCAGCCTAACTCTGCACAAAGTGTTAAAGACAATTATATCATCAATTATATCATGGTGAAGAGACCACTTCACTCCTCGAACCTAGTTTAAAGTTTGATGAATTATGAGCAATTCTGGCAAATCACTATTCTAATTTCTTCAAGAGCAAAGCAGAACATCTTTATTTTATTTTTTTAATTAATTTAATAGAATGGTTTAATTTATTTTTAAAAATGGAATGCAAATTAATGTAAAATACTCGAATTTTTCTTTGCCAGGTTTATTAACCTATAGGATGATTATTTTCTGTTCGGTATAATTTTTATCTAAAAATAACTAAACTAATTTTAAAAAAAATCAAAACCAGTTTAAATCAATTAATTTTAGTTTGGTGTAGTTATTTTTCAAACAAAAACCAAGATCCAACCGACTAGTTTAGGTTTGATTAGGTTATTTTATATTAAAAATTAAAAATTATATTTTTTTGATTTTTTTGTAATTTCTAATGAATTTGGTTTTGATTTGACTCAATTATTTTTAGTTTAGTTTTTTTATTGATTTTAATTTAGTTTGATTTTTTAGTTTTAAATTTATAAAATTGAACTAAATCGATCAATTTTTTAAATATTTTAATTGATTTTATTAAAAAAAAATTATAATTTGATTATTTTATTTTTTTACTCACCGCTGTTGAGTGGAAGTGCAAATATTTTATCCATCTTGAAAGACAAATAAATAGTTTTGATTGACAGATTTAATCCTTGACTCTTACCGACCGTGCACTGTGGTTGCCCGTTGAGAAGCAGCCTCTCTCGGTCAAAAGTTAAAACTCAAATAAAATCAAAACGCCGCCGCCGCCGCCGCCTCGATCAAGAAGTTGAGAAATTGGTTTTGCCCATTTATCTAAACTGTTCACATCTTTTATTAATTACTTACAAAGAATTATCATTTTCGTAAGTGGTATAGGAACACCATAAACATAGTGGCGGAGCGGATTAAGGGGGCACTTGCGCCCTTAATTATTTTTTTTAATATTTTTATATTAAAGTTTTAATATAATAACTTAATAAGTTTAATTTTCTTTATTGACTACTAATTAATCCAAGTTTTTTTAATTATTATTTCTGACCCTTTTCTTTCTATAAAATTTCTTTTCAAGTTTTAAACTA